TGCTTGCAGCAGCGGAAGAGGTGCCCGGTGGAGGAGAAATGACAGATCAGCTCCTGCCTTCTCCTCCACCGGGCACCTCTTCCGCTGCTGCAAGCAGTCGGCCATGCCTCCCACCCTTCTCAAGCCGCAGGAGGTGGGTGGTGGGTGGGAGGCATAGCCGGACTCCTTGGCAGGCACCGCGGCTCGGATCCGATCTCCTGAGAGTCTGACCATGGCCGGGGAAGCCGGCCGCGGGGAAGGGGAATCCCAGCGGTGGCCTCGGAAGGACCCTTCGGAAGGGTCCTTCCGAGGACACCGCAGGCATTTTCCCCCAGCTGAGCTGCGGGAGCACTCCTTCGGAGGCTCCCGCCGCTCAGCTGGGGGAAAATGGTGCCTATGGGGAAAACATCGCAAAGCGATTTTTCCCCATAGGCAACATCGTTATACGATCGCAAAAGCGATGGCAAAAATGCCATCGCTATGCGAATTCATCGTTAAACGGGGCACTCGTTGTACGAGGCACCACTGTATTTTGTTTTAAACTCCTATTTGCTTTTACTCTTTATGAGCGGCCTGAAAACGGAATGGAACGGAACTAAACTAAACAGAACCCTATCAGAAAGTAAATATAATTTCCTGCACACCGCTTCAACCATTAGCAATGAAAGCAAGAGTTTGGCTGGAACGTTTGCTGATGGGACATTCCTGTGAGTCGATCCTAGAGCCGGATCCTGGCCCAAAGGGAAGGGCGTGGTGAGAGAACAGCCTAAGTGCTGAGAGGATCCTTCACTTTGATCCATCTCCTCACGGGTTGTGTAAAACCCCAGCAGGGTTTATGGGTTCCAGTGGGAAAAGCAAGCTTTGCCCCTATAGTTTTGCCCGATGCTGGTGGGTTTTCCCCCTGCCTTAAGGAGAGCCAGGCCAACGCTTGGAGTGGCAAAGGCTGAGGGGGGGGGTTAGCCAGGGGAACCCCCTGCCCCAAAGGCTCCTCCTAAACCCCCTTGGCCCATTGCCTCTCTTGACGGAGAGGGCTAAAGTTTCACTGTAATTCTGCAAACCCTAGAACTCTCCTTCATCTGCGGATCCCTCCAGAGGTGGGAATAAAAAGGAATCGTTGATAACAACTCACAGGGAAGCTGATCTCCTCTTCCAGGACTTTGTCTCCGATGACCTGGAAGAGAGAAGAAGTGATTGAGGGAGAGACAGTGGCAGGAAGCAAGGAACGGCCGTTTCCAAAGAGGCAGGAGCCGGACCCTCCGGAGATCTCGGGTGCAAAAGGAGGAGGCCATTGTGGGCTACGAAAACCTGTCACCCAGCATGTCACGAGCAGCCATCCTTTCAATGCCTTATTGAGGGGAAATGAGCACATCAAATATGGCTTACGTACGGCGACAGGATGAAGCCCCTCACCCCCAGCTGAGAGAGATGGGCACTGGGGGCCAGCAGACCTGACTTTGTGAACAGGTGGTGTAAAAAGAGTAGAAAAATATTAACCCACGCAAAGGAGGGGAAATACTGGTTCATCGGGCAAGGGAGGGGTCCCTTCATTCATAAGGGGTGCCTGGTTGTATCAAAGGGAAAAGACCCCAAGCCTGACAGGGAGGGAAAGACGCCTCTCTGTCTGCAGCTCCCTGATATCCTCTCTCTGATACTGGAGATGATGCCTGGACTTTGTGACCCGTAGCCACCAAGCGCTTCGTTCTCCACGAGTTTGCTGTTCAAGGGCACCTTCGTTGGCAGCCACCGCTACTTCTTGTGGCAGGGGGTTCCCCCGTCCACCTGTGTGAAGGAGTCTTGCCTTTTATCCATCCTCCATCTCCAACTGCTCAGATATTGGATGGGACTGTTGGGTGAGGGATAAACCGAGGTCGCTCTGGGGCAGGGTGGGGCGGGATAGTGGTGCCCAAGCCAGCTTTTTTTTTCCAGGAGATTTTGGGGAAGGAAATGCCCCTCCTGTCCCCTGGGTCACCTTCTGTTTCATGGGGGGGGGGAAATAAACTCAATTTCACTTTCTTAGCCCTCCGTCCTCCCCGAGCCAAGCCCATGACGTGGAGCCCAGTTTTTGAACCGTTGGTCTTCAAGCCGGCCTTTCGTACCTGGCAGAACAGCTGATGGTTATCTTCCGACACCAGGAGGAGGCAGCAGCAGGGGGAGTCGGTTTCCTGCTTCAGCTGCAAAAGAAAGGCACGGTGAGAGATGCCAAACCATTTTTTTTTTGGGGGGGGAAAGAACCCAGAAGTGCAGGGTGGGACCTGGAGGCCGTCCCTGGTTCCCTTCTGTTGGGGTGGCTTCGTTTGCTCCGTGCCAAGATTTGAGAGCCTGTGTCCGGATTCCTTCTTGGCAGACCTGATCCCACAGCCTGTCAAGAATAAAGCCAGGCGTGCAGTAGCAGGTAGTGGCAATGGTAAGTCACCCCCACCATCATCATCACACAGTAGTACTATAAGCAGTGGCAGATCTCAGAAGTCACACCATCAACAGCCCTATGAGGAACAACATACCTACTGCGCCGATATTTAACAGATACTTAGGTTTTTGGTTAAAAACCTGTAACTGTTCTATAATACCAGTCAATGTTTTTACAATTTTGATTGACTGCGCCTGGTGTTTTTGAATCATCATCATCATCATCATCTCAGAGCTGTAGAGCTGGAAGTGAGCCTCTGGGTCCTGGAGTCCAACTCCTGTCAAAGAGAGACAGTGGGGGGGAGGGGGGATTCGAACTCCCAACCTCAGCCTCCTACAGCCACATGCCTAAACCCCTGAGCTATCCAGGGTGGTGCACCAAGCAGAGATGTCCATCTAACTGTCCACTAGAGCAGTGGTCCCCAACCTTGGGGCCTCCAGAGGTTCTTGGACTTCAGCTCTCAGAAACCCTGGCCAGCAGAGGTGGTGGTGAAGGCTTCTGGGAGTTGTAGTCCAAGAACCTCTGGAGGCCCAAGGTTGGAGACCACTGCGTTAGAGCAGACACCTTGAAATTAACTGTCTGACGAGAGTGCTATTCTTTCTTTCACTGGGTGTGACACAGTTTGGATCAACACTTGGGATGCACCTGGGAACACCACTTTTGGGGCCATGTCCTTAGAGACACAAATCCTTGCTCCTCTCCTTCTCTGGTGCAAGAACAAGTAGCTGCAGAGTCTGCCCCCATCCCCCGCCTTTTGCAGGTGAGGTCTTTCCTGTGCTTCCACATGTGTGAGAACAAATTTTGCACAAATGAATCATCGGTGCACACAACACAAGTTGCAACCCGCCGCTATCCATGGGTGCTGAAGAATTAGCAACACACTGATTCCTGGGTCCGTGGATGCTTTGCGCCCCTCCAAAGGAAAGGACACCCATTAAAAAAAAAATGCAGAGCTCAGTAAGTATTCCTGGCAACCCTAATCATAATTACTTCTTTGGACTCTTCTTTGGGCTGCCAGAGTTGAAAAAGATAACGCTCTGCAGCCCCAACCGGTCTTGACATCTTCTTTTCCCTCTTCCGGAAATGAGCCCCTACCTTCCTCCTTGATGGGAATCCAGAGGAAGCCGGCTGAAAACGTCAGCATCTCCTGGCTCCAGCTGCTAAGGTTAATTTAGGAGAGGCAGTGGGAAGAGATGAAAGTCTGGGGAAGTGACCACCGAAGAATTGATGCTTTTGAATTGTGGTGCTGGGGGAGACTCTT